AGTAGTAGTAGTAGTAGTAGTAGTAGTAGTAGTGGAAGTTGTACTCGTAGTAGTCGTAGTAGCCGTAGTAGCCGTCGTAGTCGTAGTAGTAGTAGTAGTCGTCGTCGTCGTCGTCGTCGTAGTCGTAGTGGTAGTGGTAGTGGTAGTGGTAGGGGTAGTAGGAGTAGTAGGAGTAGTAGGAGTAGTAGGAGTAGTAGAAGTAGTAGAAGTAGTAGAAGTAGTAGAAGTAGGAGTAAGAGTAGGAGTAGCAGCAGTAGTAGCACCCGGAGAAAACTGTAGTTAAATTAAGGAGGTGTGTATTTTTTTCACTTGTGCATGCTGTGTCCCAACTGCTGTGCCAGGACTTCTCCCTGCATTTCTCCAGCTGCGTCATGAGTTCTGCTGCGGCGGCTGGGGGCTTGGCGAGCTCCATTATTTGTATATTGTGAGAAACATTGCTTAGTTAACTTTTTTCGCTTGCTTTCCAACAAGAACACTTTTGAAAGACCTCCGATGTTGACCCTTTACGACGACGACGATGCCGCGGCGGCTGCTAGTGAACATTACAGGGTTGAGGTCTGAAATTTTAAGGGCAGATACTACTAGCGTGGCACCTGTTACTACTAGCGTGGCACCTGTTCCTACTAGCTTCTTGTTACTAGTAGTAAGGCACCTGTTACTACTAGTAAGGCACCTGTTACTACTAGCGTGGCACCTGTTACTACTAGCGTGGCACCTGTTCCTACTAGCTTCTTGTTACTAGTAGTAAGGCACCTGTTACTACTAGTAAGGCACCTGTTACTACTAGCGTGGCACCTGTTCCTACTAGCTTCTTGTTACTACTAGTAAGGCACCTGTTACTACTAGTAAGGCACCTGTTACTACTAGCGTGGCACCTGTTACTACTAGCGTGGCACCTGTTCCTACTTGTTCTTGTTACTAGTAGTAAGGCACCTGTTACTACTAGTAAGGCACCTGTTACTACTAGCGTGGCACCTGTTCCTACTAGCTTCTTGTTGCTAGTAGTAAGGCACTTGTTCCTAGTAGCTTCTTGTTACTAGTAGTAAGGCACTTGTTCCTAGTAGCTTCTTGTTACTAGTAGTAAGGCACTTGTTCCTAGTAGCTTCTTGTTACTAGTAGTAAGGCACTTGTTCCTAGTAGCTTCGTGTTACTAGTAGTAAGGCACTTGTTCCTAGTAGCTTCTTGTTACTAGTAGTAAGGCACTTGTTCCTAGTGGCTTCTTGTTACTAGTAGTAAGGCACTTGTTCCTAGTAGCTTCTTGT